TTTGCCTTAAAAATATATAATAGATACAGTTTTCTTACCTTTCCATCATTTTTTAATAAGCCTCACATTAAGGTGACAATACTCTTCTCCTAATCTAGTGTCTGCTTTGCAAGGGAAAAATAAATCACTGGGGAAAGCGTTTTGCTATCAGTGCAGACTAAGTGCAAGGTCATTGAGTTTCTCCATTGAGTTTTTGCCTGTGTATCATGCATTGTCTGTCCACATCTTTCATCTGACTTCATGGGTAACTTTGCACCACTGGCTTAGTCCTGTAGCACAGGAAAATCCTCCATTTAGAAAGCAAAGATCACACTTGATATGTTCAGCCTCACTGAACCTAAAATAAGACAAAGGGAGATGAAAGACAGTACTATTTAGAGCTCACTTGTGAAGTCAAATAGTCTTTGAGTTCCTGCTCTGCCACTTACTACTGACGATGAGACCTTGGCCAAGTTATTTACTGTCTCTAGACCACACGTAGTCCTTTCATAGGCGGGTAATAGTTATAGTTAGGCTAGGCTAGCCCTGCACATACTATGCCTTCCATAAATGTCAGTCATTGTTGTTGTAATTATTATTGCTGTCACTAATATTTAACTGAGACAGGCAAGAAAGAACTCTCAATTGTCAGCTTTCAGAAAGTTCTTTTCAATCTAGATTTTTTTTTTTTTTTTTTTTTTGAGATCGAGTCTCGCTCTTATTGCCCAGGTTGGAGGGCAGTGGCATGATCTTGGCTCACTGCAACCTCTGCTTCCCAGGTTCAAGCGATTCTCGTGCCTCAGCCTACCCAGTAGCTGGGATTATAGGCATCCACCACCACGCCCGGCTAATTTTTTTAATTTTTAGTAGAGACGGGGTTTCACCGTGTTAGCCAGGATGATCTCAATCTCCTGATCTTGTGATCCGCCAGCCTCAGCCTCCCAAAGTGCTGGGATTACAGGCATGAGCCACTGCGCCTGGCCTTCGATCTAGATTTTAAAGATGCATAGCTCATGACTGTAATCCCAGCACTTTGGGGGACCGAGGTGGGAGGATCGCTGAAGCCCAGGAGTTCAAGACGAGCCTGGGCAACATAGGGAGACCCTTCTATCCCTACAAAAATTTTTTTAAAACTTAGCTAGGAGCGGCAGCGCATCTCTGTGGTCCCAGCTACTTGGGAAGATGAAGCAGGAGGATCCCTCGGGCCCAGGAGATCAAAGTTGCAGTGAGCCGTGATTGCGCCACTGCACTCCAGCCTCCGTGACAGAGTGAGAACCTGTCTCAAAAAAAGAAAAAAGGAAGAAAAAAAGATACGTAGGAAATCAGAGATATTTCTTGCTACTCAAAATGTGGTCTGAGGATCAGCAGCACCAACATCACTTGAAAGTTTGTTAGAACTGCGGAATTTCAGACTCCATCCACCTTACTGAACTAGCACCTGCATTTTAACAAGATGTCCAAATGATTTTTGTGTGCACATTCCAGCTGGTGAAACCCTAGAATCTCTCTAGTGTGGTAGGTGGAGAGGTTGTGAACGCTCTGGCCTACTCCTTTACCTCCTTAAACTCCACCCACCATTCCCACCATTCCCACCATTCAAGTACTAAACAACCCTCCCTTCATTCTGCTAACGTTCTTCAAGGAGCTCGTGCTTTGGCTTGTGGCTTCCTTTATGCGAGCAAAGGCAGCTAGGGAGAGTCCTGTCTTATCTGAGAGGCACTATTACAGTTCATCAGCATTTAATCAGGAGGCTCTGTCATGAGCGGGTTTGCTGTACTCTTTCAAGAAAAAGACAGCAAACAATTAGCACAGAAAAGATATGGATAGATACATAGAAGTAGAAGGATTTGATTTTCCCCTCCCCAGAAGCCAATTACAAGCTGACAAAACCAGCTATCAAAGCTTGCAGTTAATCTTTTAGAGTCAACATCTGCTGAAACTGCTTCAATGCAGTGTGGCCCTTCTGATGGGCATTTGTGGATTGGAGCTCTTCCCAAAGTCATAGGCTTTTCCTGAGAAAAAGTCATCTTTTCCAGTATGAATTAATAGAATGTATCAGACTTGGACCTTGCTTGACTGCTAACTCATCTGTCCCCAAATCTTTGAAAAGCAGTGCCTCCAAATGGAAAACACAAGTTCCCTCTCTCATTTTTTGATTTAGCAGCCCTAGGAAAAAGTGTGAGAAAAGTCACACCGGAAAATCACACATTTGAGATTCTGTTTGACTGAAGTAGAAACTGAGATTTGCTAGGAACTTCTTGGATCAAAGAAGTGGTGGGGTGGGGTGGGGGTGGGGGTGGGGGTGGAGTTAAATGGCAACTTCCCCAAGCAACAACAGAAGGGTCTAGGAGAAAGTGTTTCTTTTTCTTAACGCCCACCCCTCATAAACCAGTGCTGAAAACAGCAAGGAGGCTGGTGGAGTGGCTCATGCTTGTAATCCCAGCCCTCTGGGCAGCTGAGGTGGGAGGATATCTTGAGCCCAGGAGTTCAAGACCAGACTGGGCCAGATGGTGAGACCTCACAAAAATATGTTCTTTTTTTTTTTTTTTTTTTTTTTTGAGACTCTGTCTCCCAGGCTGGAGTGCAGAGGCGCAATGTCAGCTCACTGCAAGCTCCACCTCCCATGTTCACGCCATTCTCCTGCCTCTGCCTCCTGAGTAGCTGGGACTACAGGTGCCCGCCACCACACCCAGCTAGTTTTTTTGTATTTTTAGTAGACTTGGGGGTTTCACTGTGTTAGCCAGGATGGTCTCGATCTCCTGAGCTTGTGATCCGCCTACCTCTCGGCCTCCCAAAGTGCTGGGATTACAGGCGTGAGCCACTGCGCCTGGCCAAAAATAAAAGTTTTTAAAAATTAGTCGGGGCCAGGCACGGTGGCTCACACCTGTAATCGCAGCACTTTGGGAGGCTGAGGCTAGTGGATTACTTGAGGTCAGGAGTTCAAGACCAGCCTGGGCAATGTGGTGAAACTCTGTCTCTACAAAAAAATACAAAAATTAGCTGGGCATGGTGATGCATCCCTGTAGTCCCAGCTACTAGCAGGGCTGAGGTGGGAAGATCGCTTGAACCTGGGAGGTTGAGGCTGAAGTGAGCTAAGATTGCACCACTGCACTCCAGCCTCGGTGGCAAAGTGAGACCCTGTCTCAAAAAAAAAAAAAAAAATTAGCCGAACATGGTGGTGTGCACCTGTAGTCCCAGCTACTTGAGTACTGAGCTACTGAGTCCACGAGTTCAAGGCTGCAGTGAGCTATGATCATACTACTGCACTGCAGCCTAGGTGATAGAGAAAGACCCTGTCTCTATAAAAACAAAAACAAAACCCTGAAAACACAGCAAGGAAAATTATAACCATAGGCATTGCATGCAAAGGCTTTGGGGGACAAGATGACATCTAAGTTGAATCTTACAGGACAAATGAGTTAGAGGAGAGGAAAAGTGGCCAATAGGACCATTTTTTCTTAATTAACATATAACTCATATACCATAAACATCACCCTTTTAAAGTGTGTAGCTCAGTGTTTTTAGTATATTTACAAAGTTGTGCAACCATCATCACTATCTAATTCCACAACGAGCATTCATCACCCCAGAAAGAATCCCAGTAGCATTAGAAGTCACTCCCCATGCTCTCCTCTTCCTAGCCCCTGGCAACTAATCTACTTTCTGTAACAAGATAATTTTTAAAACAGAGAAAAAGCAAGCCTGCAAGGTGATGAGGTAAAAGTTCTTCACAAGTAATAAGAGTAGTTCAAACGTATTCTTTCCCCATTTTAAAATCCAGGGATGGTGAGGCCATCAGATCAGAAGATTGGCTGCCACTGAAAAGAAAGTTTGTTATTCACAGTTCCCAAGAGGAGGGGCAGGGTATGTCATGCAGGGCCGGGTCAAGAAGCACCAGGGACAATCAGGAGGGAGAAGGAGGGAAGAAAATGCATGGGCCAGAGCCTTTATTATGGTTTTTACAGGAAGAAATGGGCAAGGCAGGTTAGTCAGATTTAGAACTGAATAGTTTGAATAATTTCAGTGAGCTCAAGACGATAGGAGGTGGTCCCTAATTGTCCTGTACCTGGCCCAGTGTGATTTAGGGCAGGAGGCTACTGTCCCAAACTGCAGGAGCGTAATGAAAGAAGGTGGGTGGGAGGTATGGACACGGGATTGGTTGGTTTGCATATCAAAGGCATGCTCTAAAGCAGTTGTTTGCTATCTCTAGGAATTAGCTAATCTTCAGAGAAGCAGTCCCTTCCTGGAATGGAAAGGTCTCCAGATATCAAAGCACCATAAAATGTGCAAAATAAAAAACATGATTAATACGCACCAGCCAACATCATCAGCCGGGATATATATCTCAGGAAATCAGACCAGTGTCTAATACAGAATGTTTTCATCTGTTTTTGCTTCTTCTTTCTAAACTTAAATATGTTTAGCTTCATTTTGAGCAATAAGATCCATGAAATCACAGGGCTGATAGACTTAGTACATTTTCCTTTTTTTTTAATTGAGACAGAGTCTCACTCTGTCGCCCAGGCTGGAGTGCAGTGGCACGATTTTGATTCACTGCAACCTCCGCCTCCTGAGTTCAAGCAATTCTCATGCCTCAGTCTCCCAGATAGGTGGGATTACAGGTGCGGCACCACCACACCAGGCTAATTTTTAGTATTTTTAGTAGAGACAGGATTTCGCCATATTGGGCAGGCTGGTCTCAAACTTCTGGACTCAAGTGATCTACCCACCTTGGCCTCCCAAAGTGCTGGGATTACAGGCATTGAGGCACCACGCCCGGCTACCTCATATATTTTCTAAGTGCATATTAAAGTAAGTACATAGCAAAATTACCTAAATAGTGTCACACAGCACCCATGTTTTGCATGTCCCAGAATGGGATGCATGTCCCAGAATGGGATGCATAGTTCAACTTCTTCATTTTATGGAAGAGAAATTTAAAACCAGAAAGGGCAAGTGACTTGCTCAGGGTCACGTAACTATTTCTGGCAAAAGACGGATTAGAATCCATTACCCGTTCCAAGTTCTCGCCTCCTGCTCCGCCATGGCTCCCAAAGGCAGCTCCAAACAGCAGTCCGAGAAGGACCTGCTCCTGCAGGATTTCAGCCGCAATCTCTCGGCCAAGTCCTCCGCGCTCTTCTTCGGGAACGCGTTCATCGTGTCCGCCATCCCCATCTGGTTATACTGGAGAATATGGCATATGGATCTTATTCAGTCTGCTGTTTTGTATAGTGTGATGACCCTAGTAAGCACATACTTGGTAGCCTTTGCATACAAGAATGTGAAATTTGTTCTCAAGCACAAAGTAGCGCAGAAGAGGGAGGATGCTGTTTCCAAAGAAGTGACTCGAAAACTTTCTGAAGCTGATAATAGAAAGATGTCTCGGAAGGAGAAAGATGAAAGAATCTTGTGGAAGAAGAATGAAGTTGCTGATTATGAAGCTACAACATTTTCCATCTTCTATAACAACACTCTGTTCCTGGTCGTGGTCATTTTTGCTTCCTTCTTCATATTGAAGAACTTCAACCCTACAGTGAACTACATCTTGTCCATAAGTGCTTCATCAGGACTCATCGCCCTCCTGTCTACTGGCTCCAAATAGACCATGTCAGCTTCTCCCCCTGGCTTTGTGTCTATGGGTGGCCTGTGGTATATGGAAAAGTCGCAGGGTGGTCAGGGTGGGAGACACACAAGATGTTTTCATAGTCTAGAGCCTTTAAAAAACCCAGCAGAATGTAACTCAGTATTTGTTTATTGGCTGTTTTTGACAGATTGTTGAAATTAAATGAATTGAAAGGGAAAAAAAAAAAAAAAAGAATCCATTACCCTTGATTCCCCATTCCAATACATATTCTCCTCTGTTGCAATTCAAATTTCATTGGTGTTAACAAAAAGCAAGGCAACCACTTTGAGTCACTCTTACCAGGGACCTGCTGTGCTACTCTAATAATTTCATGGTCCAGTCATCTGTTCAGAACTAACAGTGTCATTTGCACAAAAACAAAAGCACCTCTTCTGGTTGTTTATCTGTGTTCTTCATTCTCTACTGCAAGTCACTATAGAGTAGGAAGGAAGGTCTTCTAACTGGATTTCAGATTTCCAGTAACTGATGCATCCCTTGCTCTGAGAACTGGGGCAGGAAAACAGAAGTATAATCCTGTTCTCAACAAAAGTCAAGTTCAATTCATACATGAAAAAGATCAGCATCTAGGCTGGGTGCGGTGACTCATGCCTGGAATCCCAGCACTTTGAGAGGCCAAGGCAGCTGGATCACTTGAGGCCAGGGGTTCGGGACCACCTCACCAACATGGCGGAACCCCGTCTCTACTAAAAATACTAAAAAAAAACTTAACCGGCTGTGGTGGTGCCGTGCTTGTAATCCCAGCTACCTGGGAGGCTGAGGCACAAGAATCGCTTGAACCCAGGAGGCGGAGGCTGCAGTGAGCCGGATCGCATCACTGCACTCTAGCCTGGGGAACAGAGCAAGACTGTCTCTCAAAAAAAAAAAAAAAAAAAAGTTAGCATCTAAAGGAAATGCCATGAAAGCCACACTATAGAAGATTTCAAAAAGTACATAAGAGTATAGATACAGGACTTGAAATTTTATGCATAAACGCCCATATATTTTACAAAGCAGGCAAGGAACTTCATTAATATAATGCATGACAAGAAAGCAATCCAGTCCACTTGGCAGGCTTTTCCTTGAGGTATCTGTGGTCTTAATAATGGTGAGAGCTGACAGTGAGTCTTCACTTCCCACCAGGCATCTGTCTAGGCCCTCAGTACATGAAGAAGGCACTATGATTCTCTTCACTTTACAGAAAAGGCTACTGATGTGAAGAGAGATAAAGTAACTTGCCTAATATCATACTCATAGTTAGTGGCAGAACTGGGATTGATACACTGGGATGTCTGACCCCCAGAGCCCAGGTCTTAGCCACACCATGTAAAGGACTCCTTTCCCCACACTGTGTCATCCCTTTTTCAAGAAATCCATGTGCTTTGTGTCTGGGCGCCTAACTCGAATTGAACTGCCTTGAAAATATTGAAATACTAAGATTTAGAACTATTCCTGGCACAGATGCTCAACATGAAACAGCTCCAGGGCCACTAAATAGACTGCAGCTCAGGCAGGCCTGCTGTCGATATTGATCGGTTTCCTTGCTACCCTGTTTTAGTTCTTTCTTATTCAATAGGAAGTTTATTAGGAATTACTAGAAGGCCCTTGGCTCTAGCTCCCTCCACAAATTCAGAATGAAGTTTTGTGTGTCATTTCCTAATGATATAACTACAAGTCTAATACTATTGCTATATTAAGGGTTTGTTCAGTTTGGTTGGGGGTGGAGACTCGGGGGAGGAACTTTTTTTTTTTTCTTTTAATGATTTAGAAAATGGTTTTTTCCCCCTTCACCTTCTTTCTCCCTTCGAGCTGCAAGTGTTTCCCCCTCAATTAATTCAGGCCACTCTTCAATTCCTAAAACTATTCCATTTCAGCGCTAGGAAGAGTATTACCAATGTCTAGCCCAGTGTTCACATCTACTATTAGTATTGTGATATTAATAGTAAAGCTTCATTGCTTATATTTATGATATATAATGTTTTGTTGTTGTTGAGGTTTTTTTGTTTGCTTTGTTTGAGACAGGGTCTCACTCTGTCACCAGGGTGGAGTGCAGTGGCACAATCATGGCTCACTGCTGCCTCACCCTCCTGGGCTCAAGCCATCCTCCCATCTTAGCCTTCTAAGTAGCTGGGACTACAGGCGTGTGCTACCACACACTCGGCTAATTTTTTTTTCTTTTTTTTTAAGAGATGAGGTCTCCTTATGTTACCCAAGCTGGTCTCAAACTCCTGAGTTCAAATGATCCTCCCGCCTCAGACTCTCAACATGCTAGGATAACAGGTGTGAGCCACCATGCCCAGCCTATGATAGATTTCTTGTTGTGCATTATATTAATGTAATTCTGTGTCACTTTTATAAAATATTATGATACATATACATAAATGTCCAGACCCTGTAACTAAGCTCAATAAATTAAATATAAAGTTATCCCTATTAAACATCACTTATCACTTATATTCTGAGGTGATTTTTTTTTTTTTTTTTTGAGACAGAGTCTCACTCTGTTGCCCAGGCTGGAGTGCAGTGGCACATTCACAGCTCACTGCATCCTTGACCTCCTGGGTTCAAGTGATCCTCTCACCTCAGTCTTCTGAGTAGCTGGGGCTATGGTGCATGCCACTGCACCCAGCTCAAATGAGGATACTTTTTTCCTTTTTTTCTTTCTTTTTTTTGAGACAGGGTCTTACTCTGTTACCAAGGCTGGAGTGCAGTGGCACATTCATGGCTCACTGCATCCTTGACCTCCTGGGCTCAAGTGATCCTCCTACCTCAGCCTCCTGAGTAGCTGGGACTATAGGCACATGCTATCATGCCCGGGTATTTTGTTTGTTTTTGGTGGAGACAAGGTCTCCCTATGTTGCTCAAGCTGGCTTGGACTCCCGAGCTCAAGCTATCCACCCATCCCAGCTTCCCAAAGTGCTGAGATTACAGGTGTGAGCCATTGCACCGGCCTGATTTTTTGAAGGGGAGAGGAAATAATGTTATCTCTAGAGTGCTGGAAATTTCCCCAAACCTAGACTATGCCCGTCAGTGAGTAGAAGATGGGAACATTCTCTATCAAGCATGTCATGGTGAGAAAAAGTAAAGTTTGGAGCTGTTTTTGCTCAACCTCCTCATTGAACAGACGACGAAACTGAAGCTTAGCGAGCTTAAGTAAGTTAATCAAGGTCACCTGGCTGAATCAAGAACACGCAGGGCCAAAAAGCCAATATTCCTATGTAGCATGAAAATAGAACCATAGCCCAGAAAGAGCTGCAGCTCAAGAGAGGCCAGTCAGCTCCTGGTTTCTACTGCGGTGGAGTCCAATAAATGTCATTAGCTAATTGAGGTCTGTATTTGTTTCCTGTTGCCTTAACAAATTACCACAGATGTAGTGGCTGAACAACACATATTTATTCTCCTACAGTTCTGGAGTTCGGATGTTGGACATGGATCTCACTGGGCTACAAAAAGGTATTGGTGGGGCTATGTTCTTTCTGGAGGTTCTGGGAGAGGAGCCTTTGCTCATTTGGGTTGTTGGCAAACTTCAGTTCTTCATGGTTGTAAAACTGAGGTCCTAGTTTTGTTTCGATTTTTTTCCCCCCCTGGCTGTAAACTGAGAGCCCTTGCCAGCTTCTAGGGACGATTGCGTTCCTTGGCCTTTAGCCCCATCTTCTATCTTCAAAGCCAGGAATGGTAGATCAAGTCCTTGTCATTCTGCATCTCTCCCACCTTTCTTCCACAGCCCTAGCTTCCTCTGAAAGCTTCCAAGTTTTCTCCCTTTTAAGGACACGTGATTAAATTGGGCCCCTCTGGGTAATTCAGGATAAACTTCTGATCTCAATAGTCTTAACCTTGATCACATCTGCAAAGTCACTTTTGCCATGACATGCCCATGGGTTCCAGGGACTAGGACATGGGCATCTCTAGGGGTCACTATTTTGCATGCCAACCCAGTCCCTCCAGGACTCTGCCTCTACCCCAAAGAGGAAACAGGTTGGGCCCCCAGCTCTCCAACTAGCTACTCAGCTGTCATAACTGGCCTCCTTCCTTCCTTAATTCCCCCTTTCAGTGGAAGTGTATTAACTTCCTCCAAAACACAAGATTAACAATATCACTTCTCCCTTCAAAATACGGGGTGGCTCTTCCTTATCCACATAATTGAATGTAACTCCTCACCCTGGCCTTCAACGTTTTTGGGCCTTTGATGATACTTTCAGCCTTCCTTTCACTCAAATCATCACAATTCACTCTTTCAAACTATTTTCTTTTGTCAAAATGAACCACTTGTAACCGTGTGACCAGCTCAAACCAATTAACATTGCTTAAGCTGTTACAGATGGCACAGAGCCAAAATTGCAAGTCATGTCACCCAGGCACATGCAATGAAAACTAATTGTTAACACCACCAGCCTGGCAGATCAGCTGCATTGGCATCACCTGGGACTACTTAGCAATGCCTTAAAAGCTTGATCTCCCCACCCCCCACCCCACCCCATATAGAGGAGACACACTTAAGCATTGCCTCCTGTCTCCTTGCTCGTCAACTCTCAATAAAGCTTTTTCTTATCGCAAAAGTCAGTGCCGTAAGTATTGGCTTCTGTGTGCATCACCCAGTGAGCCATAAGTATTGGCTTCTGTGTGCATCACCCCATGAGTCAAGGGCTCAGTAACACTCCAAATGCATCAGACACTTTCTCACCTCTGTATTTTTGTCAGCATTATTTTCTCTGCCTGGAGCACCCTTATCCCTTCCTCTCTGCATTTCCAAATCCTAAAGTTTTCCACACTCAACTCAAATGTCACCACTGCTTTGAAACCTTTCCTGTTTTCTCCCACCACCTTAAAGGCTAGAAATACATTTTTCTTCTAATTTCGCAGGGCCCTCATCTGTCCATTTTTATCGACACTAAGCACAGTTGGTTATCTGTTAGAACAAATTACACCAACATGTAGTGGCTTAAAACTGTAACTAATCATTTCTATATTTCATGATTCTGAGTTAAAACTTAGGTCAGGACAAATCAGGGCTGGCTTATCATTGCTCCATGATTTCTAGAGCCTCAGCTGAATGGACATGGGCATCCCTCTTGTCCATTCTTTTTCCAGAGCTTCTTCACATGCTTAGCATGTACTTCCGCATAGCATGGTATCCTCAAGGTAGTGGGCATTTGTACATGGTAGCTCCAGGCTCCAATAGACCAAAATGGAAGCTG